CCGATGAATATATTTCGTTTTGTAATGAATAATTTTTTTGTTATTTGAGCACTAACAATTCTGAGCTATATTATTAAAAGTATTTATAATCATAATTAGAAGCTTTTAACTTAATATTGCAAATCAGTAGCTAAATTATATAGTATATTAAAAGAATCATGAAGTAAGAGCAACCAACAAAGAAAATGACAAACAATCAGATTTTTAAATTTATTTGAACTTCGAGTATTTATTTTCTGAAATTGAATTAGAGAATTAGGTAAAATCAACAAAAGAGTTTCACTCAAATATTGTGCAAGTTTTATATCTAATTTTACATATATTCAATATTAATAAAATGAATTTTCTTATGTAGACATCTACCAGAAGAAGAGCAAATTTTGAATAATTATGCATGTGACAATTACGAATATGTGATTGTTTCAAATTCATTGGATTTAATAAATGCGGTTTCAAAAACACTATATAAATATAATTGTAACAGTAAATTTATGATAATTATTAGTGATTTAAAAGAAGGTATGAAAGATTTTTTGAAATTATCCTGGACAAACTATAAGATGTTAAATGTAATAAATTTTCAAATTAACCAGATTGATAGTATTATTAGTGAAATAGAAATTGAACTATCATTTTATGATCCATTTCTAGAACATATAAGTGAACCATGTGGTATCTTCAAAGTGATAGTTAATAATAACTTATTAGATGAAAAGCCACTTATAAACTTCGAAAATACTTTGCGAAACCGTTTACTAAATTTGCACCAGTATCCTATTCCAATAGGTGTAATTAATTTTCCTGGATATTTAGAAATTGAAATTAATGGTGATAGTATAATATATACTAAAATTTACGGAAATATTATGAATTTAATATCAAATTATATGAACTTTACACCAATTTCAATATTTCCACCTGATATCAAAGCATACGGGGGAATTTTATCAAATGGAACCGCAGTTGGTCTATGGGGCTTACTAGAACGCGAAGAAGTTGAATTATCAGCTAATATTAGAGTTGCAAATCGTGGTGGTGAACAAAATTGGACTTTGAGTGCTTTTATTGGAGAAACTTCAAATAATTTCATATCACCTAACATGCATACAGCATATAAGTATACCTTTGTTGATATAGTAGGCAAGAAGACTTACATTGCCTTAACTCTCACAGCATTTTTGCTAACTATTATCGAATATAGTTTTCACAAATTGAACAACTATAAAAGATTTGATATAGGAAACAATCTTCTAGTTATTTTGGCGATGTTTCTTACAGTTTCATACAAAACACCCAAAACAAATTACAATCGACGTATTTTCCTGGCCGTCATTTTTATGGCTATGGTGGTTAATATAACTTATCAAGGAAATATGGTAAAGATTCTAGCAACTGAAACAAAAACTAAAAATTTAGAATCTTTAGCAGATATAATAGATACTGACTTTAGAATACTTCTACCTCTAGGCAAACTAGATTTTGAACCTTTTGCAACTTTTGGTGAAGAAACAAGCAAAAAGATGAGAAATAGAACTTATTTCGTAAATGAGTATCAAGATGGTATTCACCAGGTAATGTATCAAAGAGACTGCGTTTTTCTGGTTCTTCGTTCTTTTATTGATATTTACGGATATAAATGGTATTCCAATGAAACAGAAACTAATCTTATTCACATGATTTCTGACCAAGAAGAACCAATGAATACCTATCTCGCTCTGATGATTTTAAAACGTAGTCCTTATAGAGAACGTATTGATGATATGGTAAGAAGAATACGAGAAGGTGGTTTATATGATAAAATATATGATGATTCGGTTTTTGTAACGCAATTACGATTTCTTCGAATACCCAAAAGCGTAAACAAAATCAAGTTTTCCTTAGAAGAACTTCGACTTATATTCATTCTATGGGGTGGATTGATGGGTGTGTGTGTCTCAGTGTTTTTCTTGGAAGTAATATATAAGAAAGTGATTGACAGAAGAATTTTATATGTGTGATAACATAAATAATGTTATAATAGGAACGTCTATTGAAAATGATAATGATTGTGCTAAAAATAGAATGTTTATTAATAAAATATAAATGAATGTCGTACTAATTTTTTATTGATTCTAGCTTGTAAAATAAAGTTGATAATAATTTACAAAAACTATAAATGTAAAATTTTTGTTTTTTATTCACTTCATATCACAGCAATTCAATTTCATTTATTTATCAAAGATGATAAGGCTTACTACTGAGTATCCCTTTAGAATAGATGTTAAATGTTCATGTACCTTCTAAATTACTGAATGTCTTATTTTTTTTATTGTGTAAGGACAGATTGTAATTAATAAAAGAAATAATAAAAACGAATTTTTTTCGATTTAGTATTTTCATTAGACATTAGAACATTTTTTCAAAATTAGGTTATGTTCCAAGATGCGATATTTGATAAGTACATATATCAAATTCTAGCCGTATCATTGTATTCTTTGTATATTCAATTTTATTTTTATTAATTCGGATTTTTATTCATAGTACGTCTTTGACAATAAATAATACAACAGTCAATATTTATTTTACTATTATGTTTTTATTTATAACCAGTTTTTGGTTACACTATTTATACTACAATGGTCTAATTTGAGTTTTTGAATTCTTTAAATAGAATTTTTTTTCTTTGAATGTATAATTTGAATGCTTCAATTTGTTCACCACACCAATAACGAAATTGAAAAGGAAATTGCTTTCTAGGTTTTGAAGATTATCTAAAAACATGAATAAAATCTTAGATAAAATCCTTTAGTCGTAACTATATGTGGGAGCATATCAATGGTTTCCAAATTTGGGGGCGCATACTAATATGAAATTATATAGGGGGCACAACTAATAATAATAATAATATATTAATTGTGCCTTAAGGCAATTTAATACAATTTTCCAATATGTAAATAAGTATTGGATAAATAGGATTATTACATGAACTAAAAATTCGCTAGGCATAAAATTAATGAAAAATGAAAATTTTCAAATTGTTGAAAATATATGGAATGCCTGAAAAAAAATTTCTTTATAATCTGGCGATAAGATAAATTAGAAATTTTAATGATGAAATTTGACAATATTTATATCTTTTTTTTCTTAATTTCTTTGAATAATAATATTTGATAAGATGAATGGTGAATGAAGTTTAGCCTCACAAACATCTCAAATTCGACGGCCCATGAAACATTATTAAAATTTTTATAATTTTTTAAAGTATTTACAACTGATGCAGAGTAATTAAGTTAATTGGCAAACATTTGTAATATCATTTTTCCATAATTAGTTGAATTAAGTACATTAATAAAAATATTTAGAAACGTCTGAAAGCTCTAATTAATTATAATGACCTTGAAGTAATTCAAATAAGGATTTTATGTGAAGAGCTTTTTGCTCAAGTGGACATACCTATATTTCTCTATAAAATATCTTCTCGTAAATATTGATACAAGTCATCAAATTGAAGATACCATTTTACCAAAATATATAGGAAAAGGCGTAGAGTTCCAAATAACATTATTTGATTAAATTACTATGTGAACGATTTATGTACTTAGCGATTAGGCTGTGATTAGAACGACTTTTATTAATAAAAATATTATTAACGGGGAAATGTTCTTTTAGTAGAACTACATATGTGTGTAGTAATACTTCCTAGTTTTTTAGGGAAAATAGCGGTAGGAAGAAATAAGAAAATTGTATCAGTTCCAAAACTTGAAACGTACAAATACGTAATAATATACACTTTAAGTAGATGTGATTTTGATTAAAGGTTCGGATGTTGTGTGTATTTCTATTATCTCTCTAAATGTCTCTTGAGTTATTCCATATAATATTTATTTAAATTTAAAACTATTTTGGCGAATGTGCTATATATAAGCAATGAATTGATCTATTGTAATAAGGCTTTTATGTCAAATTTGTAAGTGAACTAAAATTTACTCGTAGATCAATTTCAGCAGGTATGTGGCAGTTTTGGATATTTTTTATTATTTTTACACATGCCATGTCTGGCAAGGCTCTTTATAGAAATATTTTGTAACTCTATAATCTTCATTCATATTTTATCTGTCAATGAGACATGATTTCATCAAAAATTTATACCATTGCCGTGTTCGGAACACGCGCAATAAGCCAGGGCCCATAGTATTTAATATTTATCATAAATTTGTGTTTAGTGATATCTCAGGAAAGTTTTGCACATGAAAAACTAATCATTCCTTGTTTTATTTTCGGACTAGTTACATTACATTGAAAATTGTTGTGAGAGTATTTATAATTCAATGTTGTAAAATAGAAATATGAAAATTTTTGTGAATTTGTTTTTGAAAATTATATTTTTGCGCTTTGCTTTTTCGGAAAGAAATAATTTTGATATACAGAAATCGCAATGTGACGAACTGAGATACTTGTTTTGGAGTTACGCTAAGCACATAGCTAAGGTATGATTATTGAATTATTTTAAATGCTATTTCAAACTTTTTTTTATTATATTATTACTTTTAGAATGTTTTGGGGCTGCATTACATATCTTTTGGTCGCAAAAGTTTTTCTTCGCCTGCTATTAGCAATCAGGAAGTACAGTGCCTACTATCTAACGCTAAAATTCCTATAACATTTTCTTCCTTTGTGTTCGAAAAGTAATTGATTTGGAATATATTTTTAATAATGATATATAATTTAAAATTGTCCTATTTAATCAGGTATATTTATGCAGGGACCTACCAGAAGAAAAAATTATAATGGATGTCTTGGATATCGACAGTCACGATAGCCTTGTTTACATTCTTATAACAAATTCTTTAAAATTGATTGAACTCTTCTTTCGTATTTTATATAATGAAAAATGCAATACAAAAAACATTATTTTAATGACTGATAAAACCAATGATTTGGATGGTTTATTAAAACTCGCTTGGACCAATTACAAAATACTCAATATTCTAAACTTTCAATTAAATCAAAAGAAATCAGACATGGGAGTAATGGAGATGAAAATTGACATTTCATTTTTTGATCCATTTGCTGCATATCAAAATAGTCAACAAGGCATACATAGAATTTCAATATTTAGACATGCATTCAATGAAAAAAATATAATACATTCTCAAAAAATATTTCACAATCGAATATTGAATTTGCGCGAGTACCCAGTGCGAACCGGCGTGATAAACTTTCCTGGATACTTGGAAATGGTAAACGATGGAGATATTTTAAGACACACAAAAGTTTATGGAAATGTCTTGAATTTAATATCACGTTACATGAATTTTAAGCCTATGTCAATAATTCCACGAGACGTCGCTGCTTATGGTGGACTTTTAGAAAATGGTTCTGTTGTGGGACTTATAGGACTTTTAGAACGCGAAGAGGTTGAATTTGTAGCAAATGTTAGAGTTTATGAGCACAATTTTCTTGAAAATGCAACATTTTCTTCTATTCTGGGCGAAACATCACATTGCTTCATTACTCCTAATAAAATAGCCAATTTGAAGAGCACTTTTACCAGCATAGTGGGCAAAAGGACATATTCTGGATTAACAATTACATGCGTAATTGCAGTTTTACTTAAGTATATTCACCATAAACTTCATTGTCATTACGCTAAGACATATAAAAAATTCGATCTTTCCAAGCATTTTATAGAACTTCTTGCTTATTATTTACTAGTGTCTTATAAAGTACCTACGAATAGATTTCACAAAAGTCTTTTCATCGTTCTTATATTTATGACGATGGTGGTTAATTTGACTTATCAGGGCAACATGGTGAAAATATTAACTCTGGAAACAAAATCAGTGAATTTGAAGAATTTAAGAGAACTTGCAAATAGCAATTTGAAAATTTTGATGACAATTGGAACCGCAAGTTATAATCCATTTCGAGCTCTTGGAGAAAAAATCAATGAAAAAGTAAAAGCTCGTATGATTAAAGTTACTGAGTATGATGAAGGTATAGATAGAGTTATTAATAACAAAGATAGTGCGTTTTTAGTATTAAAATCTTTTATCGATGTTTATGGAAGTAAATGGTATTCTAATAAAACTGGTTCAAGTTTGGTCAACGTAATTTCTGACGAAGAAAATATGAGAGCATTCCTTGCATTACTGGTTATAAGAAGAAGCCCGTATTTAACTCGCATCAACTCTATGGTGAAAAGAATTCGTGAAGCCGGATTATATGATAAAATATATAGAGATTCAGTTTTCATATCCCAGTTGCAGTTATCTCGGATGCCAAAACCGGCAAATAAGACCAGTTTTTCTATGGAAGAACTATGGTTCATATTTTTACTTTTGGGTGCTTCATTGACCGCGTGCACTGCCACATTCCTTCTTGAAATAATATATAAAAAAATTAGCAGCAGAAAGTTGTTTTTGACAGTTTAGCTTTATATTGATATTGAAACATATACACATATATAATATAAGGACGTAGATATGTTAACTATGCAGAAGCGTACATTCTTATGTTTTCTATATTATAATAATCTATTCATCTGTTTTCTTTATCTCTAAGTACAATAATAGAACTATTAATAAATAAACTTGCGATGTACTAATTTTTCTGTCTAATGACATTAAAATAATAGAACAATACAAGCAATACTCACTGTACTTGATTGGCTTTAATTATATAAAATTATATATTTTGATTGGCTTTGATTATCATACATATATTAGTATAGACAATGATTAATATATTTAACATAAATATTTATTCATTTATATAACGTAAATGCTCCACAAAAAGACTTTGGTACGCCCTTCATTATTTGGCAGATTTATAGATAGAATTATAGTTAGGCCAAATAGTTGTTTTAAAATAATTATCCTTTATATTTTCCTTTTCCAAATATTCCTTGAAAACCGCCTCCGTAACCCCCTCCATAACCACCATATCCCCCATAGCCTCCGTGACCTCCGTAACCCCCGTGGCCTCCGCCATAACCTCCATGACCACCTCCATAACCGCCATAACCATGACCATGACCATGTCCTCCATATCCTCCATATCCTCCGTGTCCGCCATAGCCACCAATATATCCTCCACCAGGACCTCCTCCATAGCCGATACCGCCATAGCCTCCTCCATAACCTTTTTTAGCTTCTGCTTGACTTCCATAGATCAAGAAAATGGCTACTGCCATTATGGCAAATGCAGAAAACGACTGGAAAAATAAATATACAAAGTTTAAATTAATAACTCTGATAATAAAAGTTTTTTTGAATTCTTTTCTTCATTTTATTTGGTAACAATTCCGAATACTTTGAAAAAAAAATTCTAATTGAAGAAATGATGAATTAATTTTTAAAATCGATTTAGTTTATGCTGCAAAATAGGTTAATAAATAATATCAATTTCTATTTTATAAATAAACTCCTGAAGCAAACTCTTCAGTAATGTTATCATAAAACCAAATTGTTTGTGAGATGGGAAAATGTAAAATATCTAAATTGTTTGTAAATAATTTTTAATGGACTTATCAGAAACCAAAATATAAAGAACTCACTGAGTATAATGCCTATTTAATGTACCTAATATGATGATAAAGAAAAACTAGTGGAGTATGGCATCGTGCCTTAAGGCAAGTTGCTGGAACTTTCCGTACCGTAATAAAATATTCAAAGATTTTTTTGTGTGATAAAAAAAGAGGAAAGAAAATTTTCCTCAAAAAAAAACCTAACAATATCTATAATAATAGATAAATACACTAAAAAAAAAAAAACAAAACAAAAGATTTATTCGAGTTGAAGGAAAATCTGTGACGTGCCAAGTACCATCCGCTGCTATGGGTCGATCAGGGTATAGTTTGGCAAGGCGAATATTTGAAGAATACTATATGTTTTTAAATATATTATAATAATTGATATTTCAAATATATGAGTGAGCTTTAGAATTTTAGCTAGAATTAGAATTAAATTCCGAATTATTTTCAAAATTGAAAAATTTATAAAATTTTTTTTGCTTTCCTCAGAAGCAATCGTTTTGTCAATACAAGCAAAAGCTTTTTTAAATCTCTGTTTGTCTGTTCTCTCAAAAATTTAATTTATATTTTCTGCATTCTATGCTTTATGTCTTCGGAACGGCTGGATCTGTTTTTGCCAAAAACTAATCAGCATATCTCCCCATTAATGTTTTTAGAATCATTCAAATCGGATGGTCTGTTCTCTCAAAAATTTAATTTATATTTTCTGCACTCTATGCTTCGTGTCTTCGAAACGACTGGATCTGTCTTTGCCAAAATCTAGCCAGCACGTCTCCTCATCAGTACGAATCGAATGCTTTTTGAATATTAAAAATCGGTTGATCCATGCGTCCGAAATCGTGTACGAAAATTTGTATCAAAGGTTTTTTATATCATTCAAATCGGATGCTTCGTTCTCTCAAAAACTACAGTTTTTTGCACATTTAGCCCCATATCTCCAAAACAATTAGACCTGTCTTTTCCAAAAAGTAATCACCACTTTTTCCTATCATTACGAATTAAATGTTTTTTGAATCATTCAAATCGGATGGCCTGTTCTCTCAAAAATTTAATTTATATTTTCTGCACTCTATGCTTCGTATCTCCGAAAGGGCTGGATCTATCTTTGCCAAAAACTAATCAGCATGTTTAGTTTAATCAGTAATGAATCACAATGAACTAATCAGTATTGAATATTAAAAATCGGTTGATCCATGCGCCCGAAATCGTGTACGAAAATTTGTATCAAAGGTTTTTTATATCATTCAAATCGGGTGCTTCGTTCTCTCAAAAACTACCATTTTTTGCACGTTTAGCTTTTTATCGCCAAAATGATAAGACTTATCTTTGCCAAAAACTAATCACCATTTTTCCTCATCATTACCAATTAAATGTTTTTTGAATCATTCAAATTGGATGGTCTGTTCTCTCAAAAATTTAATTTATATTTTCTGCACTCTATGCTTTGTGTCTCCGAAACGGCTGGATCTGTCTTTGCCAAAATCTAGCCAGCATGTCTCCTCATCAGTACGAATCGAATGCTTTTTTAATATTGAAAATCGATTAATCCGTGCGCCGAAATCGTGTACGAAAATTGGTATCAAAGTTTTTTTATATCATTCAAATCGGATGCTTCGTTCTCTCAAAAACTACCATTTTTTGCACATTTAGCCCCTTATCTCCAACACGGATAGACCTGTCTTTGCTAAAAACTAATCACCATTTTCCTCATCATTACGGATTAAATGTTTTTTGAATCATTCAAATCGGATTGTCTGTTCTCTCAAAAATTTAATTTATATTTTCTGCACTCTCTGCTTCGTATTTGCGAAACGGCTGGACCTGTCTTTGCCAAAAACTAGCTAGCATGTATCCCTCTCAGTAGAAATTGAATGTTTTTTGAATATTTTAAAATACATGCGCCCGAAATTGTGGACGAAAATTTGTACCCCCACAAAACACACACAAATGTTCAGAATCTTCTGAATCGTGAAAACATGCAAAAATTTTCATTTTCGATTTTTGGATGATTACTATAACTTACCCTACGTGAAGCTAATGAAATTAAATTAGACAATATACGCAAAATTTGAGGAAATCGTTAAAAGTGATTTTTTTATCTCGCGTGTCTGTTTAATTTTGTCGTACAAGGATAAACATTTTGAACTGATACTTCACTTTTTATTGGCAAAACAAACTATAACATACTTCAACTACACTTAGGATAAAATAGTTGATAATAATATTTTTTTTCACTTACTTTCATTATTTTAGTCTCTTCTTCAGTACGAACAATACAAACACTAGTTGTTTTTTAAAACCATCTCTTCCGATGTCGTCCTTTTATACGCAATTGTGAAAAATATGACCAGGATGTAGTCATATTTTGCAACTAATTAATAAATTCTGCGGTAAAGCCCTGCTGTAAATCGTGACTAGATAGATTGTGTTATTTTATACAAATAATCGTCATAAACACGAAATAATGATTCAATCTTTGAAACGTATCTAATTGTTTCTAACGACGGGTTTTGTTTTCAGCTCGGGTTCGCGTAAATCAATTTGTTCTAGTGGAATCTCGCAATGCATCTTGCAATTAGTCGCATCACGGTATTTTACTTACAAGTGATATTAATGACATCACATGTACTTTTTCTACTTACTTGAGTTTACTTGGAACATCAATTAATAGATAATTATTTATTGTTAATGACATAAAATTATAGGATATTGATATGTTGTTACAATTTGTAGTTTTCGTCAACATATTGTCTTAAGCGTAGATGGCTTTAGTCATTTTTATAATTGTTGGCGATATCCGGTCATATACACAATAATTAAGTAGATTCATTATTTACGGATTTCCCCCAAATTTTGCCTTCCAACAGAAGGTTTCAGTATAAATACCCACTTCGGACAGCCGATGTCAAACAGTAGTGTCATCGGTTTTCACTTGAAAATATAGATGTAAAATTTCCAAGCGAAAATAGCATTTTTCCGGCAGAGCTGCATCAAATTAAAAATGATCAGTTCTAAAAAAATTTATTAAAAAAATGTATCAAGCGGAGATAGGCCAACCGTTGGGTTGTCCTCTACAAAACTACGTATACGTTAACAGTTAACATGGGCACTCTACTAAATCAGAACAGTTCATAAAACTCTTAAGTTTTTAGTCTTATGAGTCTGATTTTGTCTGCTCTAATAGAAAAAATCTTATTATTCGGAAAAGCGGAATGTTAAAACTGAAAGTCAGCCGTGATACGGACTAGCGATTCCTAATCCCAGTCTCGGTGAGCTAGGTGACAAGTAGTATGATTTTAAGTTTTCACTTGAAATCACAAATCTCAAATATTATCTTAAGTGAAAACAGTCTTTTGGGGCCATTACTGCATAAAAAATATGAAGTCCAAATAAACTTATTCTAATTTTCAATTTACTAATACTGCAAATTTACAGAAAATATTTTATTATCAAATTATATGAAATTTGTATTACATTTCTATTTTTGTAAATGTTGTGTTGCTTATAAATAAGATTCATGTTTTTTTTACTCATGTTTAATATTTTTGACACATATATAATATTAACTAGATTTACAATAATAGTTTCGCTAAATTTTATTAAAATTAACCCTTTCCACTCGGATGCCGCCACTCCGGCGGCAAAATTCATATAAATCTCGGAATTCGCGAGTGGAAAGGGTTAAAATAATTGTTTTTGTCATCGTCAACTGAAAATAGGTATTTATGTTAAAAAATATAGGCAAACATACATTTTATATAGAATGAAATAAAAATCTGGAAAAACCAAAAAAAGCTGACCGGTTTGAAATGTATATATTTTTACAAAAAGAATCTAACTATTTTTTAATAAAAAAAAGCTAGTTATTTATTTTATTTAAAATAATTTTTCGAATAAATTATGTGATTTTTATGTTTGTTTAATTTCATAACTCGACAAAATTTTCTGCTATAAGACAACTGGGGTAAAAAACCAATAATTATGAAAAAAATTAAAATATATTATTTAACAAAAACTAAGCTACTTGTTTGTTCCACTCAAAATTATTACCTGAATAGAAAAAAAATGAAAATATTCATCAGTTAATTGAATTTGATTATCAATTTTTATTTATAATTTTAACAGCGATCAAAACTACTTGTTTTATAATCTGTGTTTGCTATCGTACATCTAAACCAGGTATTTTTCTTAAGAGAGCAACCAAGCGGTCAACTTTTTTTTTATATTGACTACAAATTTATATTAGACATGATGTGATGTAATATTGTTGGCATATATGTGTTGGAGCAATACCCCCAAAAAACTCAATTTTCACTTGATTATATTTGAAATCAATAAACTAAAGTAAAAATTTGATATCATATTGCTTGATATCGAGAAGCCCTTGATTGGGATTATACCACTGACTAGTTTAAGCTAGGTCAAAAGTTCTTAACCACTACACCACGACGGTAGACTAGAAATTAATTATTCAATTTTTCAGTTTAATAATAGAACGTCACAGAAGTGATGTAAAAGTGCTAAAGATCGCATAAACGTATCATGATAATGTTGCGTATATCATCGAGTATGAGTAAAGAAAATATGAATCTTACAACTCATGAATCATTCAAGTAAAATTGTTTAGAAAAGAAAGCACGCGCTAAAAAACACGCTAATAGTAGGGAATAACGTGAATGCGTTCGAAACACGTTCTTCCCAACGCATATAATAATCACTTTTGATTTAATTAGAAATTTGCGACGCAAGCGATTCAGGCTACATATTAGTCATAATAAGTCGAATTCGCAATTCTGTTTATCACTCCATGATAAATCGTACACATCGATATGAGGAAGTGCGCTTCTTTATAATCTCATTTCTATTTTAAAAATATTGGATATTATTCATCATTATCTTCATAATAAATTATTTTCAAATATTTTATTTAAAGCTTATAATATATTTACAAAATGGTAGTTTAATAGAGTTGTCAAAGTTGTTTTTTTCTTCAAAAAAGAAATAAATGTAAAATTTTTAGTTTATATTTTTATATATAATGTTTAATTCAGAATATTAAACCCAAAAAGAAGATCTTATTGTCTATGAAAAATAAAAATAAACTAGTGGGGTGGGTGGCATCGTGCCTTAAGGCAAATTGCTGGAACTTCTCGTACCGTAACGAAATGTTCGAGGAATATTGAATGTTTTCAAATAGATTATTATAAATATTGTAACATTGTCTAATATTTATAAGAATTATATAAACTGAATTGCAGAGTTGAAATTATTTGTTTAAAGTATATTAGAACTATAGTCAGAATTAAAAATAAAATCTGAATTATCATTTTCGATATACAAAAAATTAAAAAAAAAAAAAAAAAATTGAAACAAATTTTTTTTTCCAAAATCAATTATTTTGTTAAGACAAGCAGAAAGTTCTTTGAATCAATTGAATCTGACGCTTAGTTCTCTCAAAAACTGCCATTTTTTGTACATTTAGCTCTGTATCTTCGAAATGGCTGGGCCTATTTTTGCGAAAAACTAATAACCCCTTCTTCCAATCATTACTAATTGAATGTTTTTTAGATCATTCAAATCGGATGCTCCGTTTTCTCAAAAATTCGATTTCTATTTTCTGCACTCTTAGCTCGTTATCTTCGTACCTGCTGGACCTGCCTCTACCAAAAACTAATCAACACATCTCCTTATCAATAGGAATCGAATGTTTTTTAAACCATTCAAATCGGTTGATCCGTACGCCCGAAAACGTGGGCGAAAATTTGTATCGATACATACATACACACACACACACACATCCAATTTTTCTGAAGTATGCCAAAATGTTCAGAAACCTTCAAAACGTCGAGAAATGTAAAAATTTTCAATTCTTATTTTCGGCTCATTACAATAACTTACCCTACGGGAAGTTAATAAATTGGAAAGAGTGTTAAAACGCAAGATATGGAAAGGGTTAATTTTAATAAATTTAGCAAAACTATTATTGTAAATCTAGTTAATATTATATATGTGTCAAAAATATTAAATATGAGTGAAAAAACATGAATCTTATTTATAGGCAACACAACATTTACAAAATAGAAATGTAATAAAAATTTAATAATAAAATATTTTCTGTAAATTTGCAGTATTGGTAAATTGAAAATTAGAATAAGTTTGTTGAACTCTTGCCGTCTAGTATTATAATACATTGTTATAATACTAAAACATATATTTTGTTACAGAACCTATTGAAATTGAATTTAAAGTTTTATTGATGTTTATTGAGCATTTGAAAGATTTTGAATTTTTTCTGATTAAAACTATAATTTCAGGAAGTTGAAGTGAGTGTGTCATGTATAATTTTTCTAATTATTTTCTTCTGTTCGAAGTAAAGTATATACTAAAATTAGTCTATATAGTTTAATTTAGAAGTCGATTACGTTCTTACAAACAGATGTAATAAAATGGAAAAGCAAACTATTGTATGTATTTTTGTCGCAAATTGTAAAGTTGTAGTTACAAAAGACTTGCTTGCGTAAATGAACAGATTTACAGCTTACATTTTGCTAAATTATTTATTTTTAGGGTGTAGGTTATTTTGTATTAACTTGTATAAAATACATAAATTTTACTTAAAAAAAATTGCATAAAATGCGATTGGCATTCAAAAATTCGTCAAATCGAAAGAGAAAGTATAACTAAATTTTTATTTGTGGGATTTTATTTTTCAGTTTTATAACGTTCCAGAATTTTCCTTTGAACTTTTCCATTTCTCTGGGATAAAACAATTTCGAAATGGTTCGATTTGATTCTGTGCTGAAATCGTTTATCGTTTCCTAAACATAAAACTAAAGAAAACCGCAAAGAAGTGAGTTATTTTTATTGCAACGCAATTCACAAAGGATTTTCACTGTCCAGTAGAGAAAATAAAACATTGGACTTTCTAACAGGAAATTTACATGTTTAACGTATGTTGTGCTCGCACGCACTTTGATATGATAAAATAACATTTTTCTTTGAAATGTTATTTTCGTGTAGTAAACTGGATCTGAAGAGCATTTTGTCCATTAGCAAGTTGCAAGTGCACGCAAATTGCAGAAAGCGAGTGGTGATTGCCTTATCCAGATTCAGATTTATTCACATGAAATGTTTTGTAAATAAGTTTAGTAATACATCAAGTAGCAAGTTTGTGGTAATATAAGTAGATCTGAGCTAGTAATAGTCGTAACTGCGTAATTTTAATTCGCCGGTATGGTGACACATTAACACGTTAACTTATCACGAACGGCCAAAGAAAT